GCTATCACCTCAATGTAGTGTCCATAGTGCCAAGCGTGTTGCCCAAGCACTACAGGGGAGGGCACGCCCCCTTACTAAATAGGAGATAAGGACAGGCCATGCCACCTGCCCTTGAAATGCCACTGGCACCACTACTTGTTAGTGAACGATTGATGTGGATAGCCATGCCCTCCACATCTTTTGCCCCAAGCATGTGGATGACAGATCCTGAGGCCTCAAAACCAATAAGGATGGATAAAAGCATCGTACAAAGAAGCCGACGTGAAGTACCCCTCCATCTTTTTTGTAACCTGCCACCCAGAAACAATATAACAGGAGGCCATGATTCTCTTTCTCTCAGGTATCTAAACATTCTCGACTCCCATGTCTTTGAACCTCTTGTGTTGTAACCCCTATTAAAAACATTCAGGCTCTCAAGCTCACCAACACGAATGAACATCACCACTGGACGTAGGGAACATCACCTAAACTAGTATAATCCCTGAGTCTTAGCACCAAGCCGTCTGAGACCATACATACCATTTAGAGAAGCTATAGATATGCAACAACTTAAACATACGGCACCACCATACCACATTTAGCTTTGTTTTTTCGGTTGCATTTTCTAAAATTTCATTGGTTCATTCAATACTTCAAGCTATTTGGAATTCTCCAATATAAGCAAGCATAAATGACCCATAATTAAATTTGGCATCCATTGTATTCCTTTGTGCATTTTTTTTTTGTTACCGCTACAATATATTCACGAACCCACCTAGAAACTCTGGCCGGGTCCGTGTTAACAAAAAAAAGGGTGACATTCTTGTGCATATTTGTAATGATGCAAATAGACGAATGTGACATATGTACATTATATTTTGGAATACAAATTAAAGAGACGTGACACGCTATGCACATGACGTTTTTTATTGTGTATCGTGGAACAAGAAAAGAAAGATGTATTTGACATTTGTTTTGAGAGGAACTACTTTACAGTGCACACAAACCTTTTTTAAACTATCCATATGCTTGTATAGTTGTGAGTGTACGACCCCGGATACCCACGGCGGACTACATGGGCTGCGCTCCCAGGGGCGGTCCAGCCCACAAGATGAAGACCTACTATGCACGACACTGCTCGGCGTGCACCGCAAGGCAAGGGCGATATCCTGAAGATACTACGAGATTTGTTAGGATACGTTCGATCCCATGATTCATGTAATCTGTTATTACTTACCGGTTATCTCCTAGATCTAACCGACTTGTAACCCTGCCCCCCAGACTATATAAGACGGGTAGGGACCCCCTCAAAACACACTCAATATCATACGATCGCCAATACAAACCAATAGACCACAGGAGTAGGATATTACGTCATGCTGACGGACCGAACCTGTCTAACTTTTGTGTCTCTGTTGCCTTCTTGTTCTTGATTATGCGTACCTCTGCCGATCAATCTACCTTCGTAGGATACCCCTCAGAGGACTGCCGAGCATTTTTTGTCGATACTAGTAGTGACTCTGATCTCTCATCTCTGTTAGGATCCTCTACTACCCCCCCCACCCACTCATTAAATAGTATAAGAATTATTATTCTCGATCTTTGCAGGGTAACATTGTCACTTATTACTTTGTTTTTTCCCCAAATAGATACAACAATCTAATAATCTCTTCCAGTTTTCTCTTCTTTAATAAATGTGTACGCCGCCTGAATATTTTGTCGGTGTGATGCATCATTCGAATCTTAGGGTGTTACATGCATGTTCCTTGCAAACATCTAAATAAAACCACCAATTTTAAACCACCATATAATTAATCAGATCCAATTACTGGCTTCTGTGCATAGGCAGAGCTATTTAGGTCTAGGTGGCACCGTGGGGGCGTGGACCACCTTAAAATTTGATCCAAGGTAAAACTATACAGTAGATGAGCTACCTAAAATTATGAAATTTACATATTGACCATCCTATAATTTGGCCTTACATATATGAGATGAGATGGGCCACCCTGATTCTAAATCCTATCTAGCCACTACTTCTGCGTTAATCGTCAGATTGATCCTATTTGCAACTCTAGTGTAACTACATAGGAGAGCATGGAGAGTATAATTGAGATTAAGATGACACCATCAAACGCTTATTCGGTTCAGTGGCGACATTGATTAGTTTGGTGCCGCTATTGATAGTCGATGGGGTGCAGTCGGTGTTGATGATAAATGAACAGGGTGTTGTGTGGATATATGTCTCTCAATAGCGAGTTGTTCTGTAGGTTAATGGGGGGCTTGCAGAGTCATCATTAAAACATTGAGTCCTCGCTACCAGAACATGAGAATGTTATGGTCGAAAAAAGTAGCCAATGTACCACTCCAAGATATGCTTAATTTTTTGCTAGATATATACATGCCTTGAATTACTTTCATATCTTTGAAACTTAAAATGGATACCTTCAATATTAAGTGTTGGCAATGAATATCTCTGGAGATCTATTCATAAATGATACAATATCTAGGTTGCACAATAGGGTATCTATCTTTCACATGGTTCAATCAAAAGATTCAGGAATTAAACCTTTTGTATACTACGACTGTATGCTTTGTTGCCTCCTATATATAAGTAGAGCAGTTAGGCCAGAGCTCTAAACATAGCATCAAGCTTAGGCTTTCTTCATTCACCTTTTTGGCCAGTCAGCACTTGCTAAATCATATTAGCACTGAATAATATGTTACTTAACAAAGTAGTTGTTCTCCTCCTACTAGTGTTCGTAGTAATTTCTCTTGACCATGTGAGCGGTGGATACTGTGGTAACAAATGTACATGTACAAATAAACAGAAGAAGGTCATTTTAGAAGCATGCGGGCCCTACATCGTGAAATCACACATCCCTATGCGTCCACCCAACACAAATAATCCCTGTTGTTACGCTGTGAGAACACTGCAGAGCCTTGGCGAGGGAATGATGCAATGTGTCGTCGATATACTTAACAATACAGAGAAGCGACAATATGATGCATCAAAGATGCTATATATAAAACGATTCTGCACACAACATTCATCTCATGCTTCAACTGCTAAGGTAAAAATCACGTGTTGATGGTTCCTTTCATACTTAGTCCTCCACAAAATGCAAGCATGGGGATAAGCTAAGAAATTGATCAATGATTTACTCATGATTCCGTGGCAGGTCATGGTGTAAAGATCCTGATGGAAGTGCATGGTCATATAGTAAGGAGTCTGAACAAAAATATATCCGCTTAAGAAATAAAATCAATAAATTTAAACTTATTGTAACTTACAGTATCTTTGATGGCTCCCACTATATATATTTATGGTACTTTCATATAATTAATTATGGGTCTTCTATTTTGTTAGATATGATAAAATTAATATGATCCATTATCTTCAATGAACTAATAGTTCATTACATTTACATAAAACAGTGGAATGTGGAGATAATTAGCAATGAACAGATGGCCAGTGGCACAGCCAGCCACGGCATGGGCCCACTAAGACATGGCTCGATTAGGGCGGGCCTAGCATGATACTTCATGCGTGGAGGACCAACGACCCCGATCATCATGACAAGTTGTGCCTACCTAGCAACCTGACACAATAGTTGTTCATAGATCCAGCCATCAATATAAATACACAAATCTCAAATCAAGTGAGCAGACTTGGAGAAGGGACACTGATCACATGTGACATCGCTATGGTGGTTGGCGGACCGAGTCGATGCCAGGAGCACCGACCGAACACCCTCATGGTCGATGTTGTCCTCTCTTAGTACCTCGGCCCTCTCTAGCCTAAAAGATTAGAAGCCTTCGAGCCAGGGCAAAGGACAGAGGAGAAGCTCCATCAAGTCAGAGATGATGGAGGAGAACTGAGAATCTAGTAGATACAGAGGAGACCACGATGGGGGAAGCCAAGATGGCAGAGAGAAGTGCGGTGAGGGATGAGGGCGAGAGAACCTGAGAGGCAATAAAGGGTGAGGGTAATGAATCAGGGTTAGGAAGGGCTGCGCCTGCGCGTGGTTTATATACCATGAAAGGGTGTTCATCAATCACTACAACCCCAAATCCGAAATTAGGGCCAATAAGCTAGATGTGTTCCATAACATAACATAGTGATAGGACTCAACAGATGTGCATAGAAAAAAAAGGACCGAGATACTTGTGAGGGATTCATGTTTTAATTGGTATAGGGTTATGTTATGGCAAAACAAATAGTTGCACATGAGTTGCATTACACATGCGCAACAAGTGTATTGACATGTAATAGGTCCAATAGTTTTAGAGAAGCAATTAATTGTATTATATATGTACGTAACATAATGTAATGACATGTGACGGGTCTTGTTTGACGAATAACACCAAAGCCATAGGGGACGAGAGAAATTTACTCTCTTTTTCTCAAGTTCAACTTATCTTAGTTATAATTAAAATCTCTAGAATACACATACACTTTATTGTTTATTCAAGGACAGATGAAGTATATAAGTAGGAGAAGAGAGATGATGCAATGCGTGAGACAATATTTACTAATTCGTACCCATCTAATAATATCAATCAGAATGATAGAATCAGGTAGCCAACCACAACAGTCAACCGACGAAGAAACATCAACTGAAGAAACGGAAACAATCTCCCACCACACACATCATGTATTCTAAGAAAACTAAATGGTTCACATGCCCAGTAATTCTCAAGAAACAAAGCACGATTATCTATAATAACTTTACTAAAGTGACCATGCATTGCACATTTAAGATAACTTGTCCAACAACCAAAGAAACCAAGCACAGTTCACTAAAGATAAAATCTAAAATTGTTACACATGGCAACACAATGCAAGATTATAACTTATGAAAACTTCCACCCTTCAACTTAGCACCTGCTGCAGCAACTTGCAAGGTCTGCCTAGACCATAGGCCCCAAACCATCGTCCACTGCGGTGGCAATGCACTGTGGGCAATGCTCCAGAACGGTCAGCTTAGTTGTAGGCGCAACTTTATCCTCGATGTACCTTCTTATAGCCACCAGTGCACTGCTCTAGAAGCTTGCTCGACCATAAACTTGCTATAGGGCAAGCCAAGACCATCAAAGCAACATGGAGCGCCACGAATGGTATCCAATGTAAGGCTCTCGAGTGAGACTGCGCTCTTGACAATGCAACATGTTAGCTCAACCAAGCTCTTTGTAGAGTGGAATCCTGAGATCTCCATACTCTTGAGGTGGTCGTGACGCCGTTCTGGTAGCTCCCTCAGATCTGAAGAACCTACCAATTCATGCCCCATATCTGCCAAAGGTACCTGAAGACAATGTATAGTAAAACTAGCTAGGAAATTGAATCTATGGATATCGGATGCACCCGAATGAGCATCCATTAATTTGCTGGATATATAGAATGGATAGCGCCTTTACCTCCAGCCACCATGTCTCCAAGGAAGGAGATGCATCCAAGAAAGAAATCAAAGAAGAATAAACGTAGGATGGGGACAAGGTCGATGAAGTAATCTGAATGTTCAGGTACTTGAGGTTGACGAATTTGGAGGGCAGCATTGGTGTATTCTCCTGCACAACAGATATATGTCATGTTCAGATTAATTATGCGCTTGCACACATATATGACTACTGTCGATCATATGGATTGTATAGATACTCTGCATAGTATACCTCATGGCTCGAACTTAAAGAAAGAGTCTCAAGATTTGGCATAATGGACAGAAGCTTAGCACGAGCATAACCGGCAGCAGTAGCAGCAAACAAGTTCAAGAGCTTGATCGTTTGCGATGCTTCTCCAAGCAAGAGTTTTATAAGTCTTCCAAAAAGGGTAAAATTGGAGATACTTGGAGCTTTGTTCTCTATAATTTGCATAGCATAACATCCATCAACCAACAGGTAGCTAAGCCGCTGCAGCACGGAAGGTATCTTCAGGGAAACTATCTCTCTGCAATCCTCGAGGTCCAAGCGCTCCAAAGCAAGGGAGTTGGAAAGAAGGCACTCTAATTCACCCCCCGTGATACACACAGAACACAGACGCAAACTTGTTAAGCTTCTCAAGGGTCCAAGTTCAGCCGTAGGACGGAAGACACAAGTGTCAAGTTGAAGAGAACGGATTGAGTTTCTAACCCCCACAGATAAAACTGAGCATGTCAAGTTGTGCTTAGGCAGGTGAAGGTTGAGCTCTTCAATCCGCTGCAGCACGGAAGGTATCTTCAGGGAAACTATCTCTCTGCAATCCTTGAGGTCCAAGCGCTCCAAAGCAAGGGAGTTGGAAAGAAGGCACTCTAATTCATCCCCCGTGATACTCACAGAATGCAGACGCAAACTTGTTAGGCTTCTAAAGAGGCCAAGATCAGCCGTGGCGCGGAAGACACAAGTGTCAAGATGAAGAGACCGGATTGAGTTTCTAACCCCCACAGATAAAACTGAGCATGGGAAGCTGTACTTTCTATATATGAATGGAGTCACAAGAGTCAGCTCTTCAATCCCTGGTGTAACAGCAAACTTGAGCCACCTGTCGATATGAGGAAAGCAAGTGTTCTCATCATGTAAATGAAGCCTCAATATCTTCACGCCAATTCCTGTGTGATTTTTCGGGATGCTCTCTATTCTGCGACTTAAACTTCCGTTATGTTTCTTAACTGTTTGCAAACTCAAAATTAGTTTGGAATAAGATCTCCAGGAACTTAGAAAGGCCTGAGAAAGGCAAGCTGCACGAGCAGCAGCATCCATTGGCATTAAAGAATGTATATGACGCCAGACATCCTGCATGCATGCACAATGATGGGATAAAATTTCAACTTTAAAGTCAAGTGGAATTTCAATCAATCAGATAAAGGCATTATGCTCAAAATCAGATAAAGGCAACAGGTAGTTCTCAGCATGCTTGCAAAAAGGATGTGTATTATAGATATGTATAAATTGCTAACTGAATGTAACGGTGGCAGGTAAACTTAGCAATTCACAGAGAAGTTTATCTCTAACAGTATTATTACTAGAGGCTTTTTGTAAGCAGGGCCTTGGTCTAAAATTTACTAGAGGCTTTATGACAAGAGAAAAAAAAAATACACATACTCTGCATATAGCCACACAGAGTAGACAATGTGTCTATCAAAACGCAATAGATGATGTCTTATTGTGCAATATCGTCAGGTCAAAATCGCACAGGTGAGAGATCATAGGCTAATATGATTATTTGCATATTTCAATTCATCAAGAGACAACAATACAGCATCAACGGGCACATGCCTGATTATGCAGATATACTCAGGTTCTGGATTTTTTTTTTTTGAAGGAAGCAGGAGGGGTTTTAGGCCCCTACTGATATATATTACAAAAAAACAACAAGCGAATCAGAGAGAGAGAGCGATTTTATCAAGTGGGAGAGAAAACAGCAAGCGAATCAGAGAGAGAGCCAGAGAGGACCGGGAGCCGACGAACGAGCACCCGCGTCGTCGTTGGCCTCGCTCAATGCAACGCGCGGCAACGCCATGACGGCGGCGACCTCTGGGCTCTGGCGGCGACGTGATCTGATATGGTACGTGCCTGTCTTTGTCAACGAGGAAATAAAAACAGCGACTTCGGCTTTATTAGGTCATCAGGGCTGGAGCTGGACAAGGGGCGCCGGGCTAGGCTTCGACCGTAGGAGTAAATTTTTATTTCAGAAAGAAGAAGAAGAGTTTTCTTTTGGAAGGGGCGAGGAGGTGACCAATTTTTCCCTAAAAAAAGTTATGATCCAACTTGTGCCCCGTGCCCCCGTGGGCTCAAAGGCTTTGTGTGCTCGTAGCATATATATAGGACCGTTTACGCAAACTACTAGTAGATCATCAGATCATGGTCCATGCCCTTTTCTTTAACAATTTCACTTTCTAAAGATTTTTGTTTTTAAGGAAAAAAGTTCTCTTTTTTTGCCTCCCTAAACCATCATCGTAGTAGTCTTGTTTTTCTCCTAAAAGTCTAAAATTGGACATCTTACTCTCTCTCAACTCTCGAAACCATTTAAGTTATCTCTGTGCCCTTTTTCATGAGCTCTAGATATTTTATTTGGGTTCCATGGGTCACAGCCTATCTCTATAATTTTCTAAGAACTTTTAGAAGTTTAGAGGCTTTTTTCTTATTTTAAAAGACTTATTAGATATTTACCTTTTTAACTTAAAAAGGATGAAACCATCTTTAAAACACTTTTAACCAGAATAGGGAGGTAATTTAAACGGTTTTGAGAATTGAGGATGTAAGAGCATCTTTAGCAGGTTAGCTAAACCTACTACATATCCTATATTTAGGTAGTGGAGGCCAAAAAATACACTCCAACACACTACCTATCAGACTATCTACTTTTGTTGGCCCAACAAATTCTCCCCTTCACTACCTACTTTCGTTGGCCCAACAAACCAGACTATATATTTTTTTCTTCTGGCCCTGTTTGCTTGAACTACTTCAGCAGTACTTTTCAGCGAACGAACAGTGTTTTTTTTCTCTCACAATAAATCAGCTTAAGCCAAATTTCAGCGAAACAAACATGGTCTCGTTCCTCCCCGCTCGACGAATTGCACGCACGTGCAGGTGCTCGGTTCGCCGTCGATCCCCGCAGGGGAGCCCCCGCCGGTCCGCTGTAGGGGAGTCACCATCGGATCCGGCCGCCCCCGGGCGGCTGCTCCTACCCCTCCCCAGCCGGCTCTTCTTCCTCAGCGATGGCGCCCTCCCCGGCCGGCTCTTCTTCCCCAGCGACGCCCTGTTGGGGTTTAGTCCCACATCGTATAGCGATGGTGGGAGAGCACAACATATAAGGCGGGAGAACCCTCACCTATCAGGCTAGTCTTTTGGGTTGGGAAGGTCCAAGGCCTTATATGTTGTAGCTCCGGTGGACCTGGGATCTGTGGGAGCGCAGGCTCGTAACGAGCCGGGCCGGCTGCAAGCCAGCTCCAAGATCATGAACTCGGTGGTCACCACCGGTTCCAACAATTGGTATCGGAGCCCATGGTCAGAAAAGCTAAACCCGATAAAAAAATCTCGAGCGTCACATATGGCGGGGGCACCCCGATATGTAACTAAGGGGGAGATTGTTGGGGTTTAGTCCCACATCGTATAGCGATGGTGGGGAAGCACAACATATAAGGCGGGAGAATCCTCACCTATCAGGCTAGTCTTTTGAGTTGGGAAGGCCCAATGCCTTATATGCTGTAGCTCCGGTGGACCTAGGACCTGTGGGAGCGCAGGCTCGTAATGAGCTGGGCCGGCTGCAAGCCAGCTCCAAGATCGTGAACTCGGTGGTCACCACCCGTTCCAACACACCCCCATCTCTTCTTCCCTTCCCTGGACGGCGCGGCCTACAGCCTCCGGTGAGGTGTAGCGAGCAGCCCCCAGCGTGGAGCGGCCTGCAGCCCCTGGCGCGGCGCAGCCTGCCTGCCCTAGCGCGGCGAGGCCTGCCTGCTTCCGGTGTGGTCTGCCTGCCCCTGACGACGGCCTTCGGCGCACCTCCCGGCTCCATATGTGGCGAGAAGAACGCCGGTGAGATGACATGTAGGACCCACTTGTCATTCCATGCTAGGATGAAAATGAGTAGCTAGTTTTAGGTAGTACTGCTGAAGTTAGGAGCAAAATTTGGATAGTATGAGAATAGGTGGCTACACAAACAGACAAATAGATAGTCTTTTTAGGCAGTACTCTCTAAGATGTATGGTATTGGAGTCTGAGTAGCAAAGCTAGAGCCCTGATAGTTTAGGGAGGCAAAAAGTATATTTTTCCTTTTGTAAATAAAAAAATTAAAAAACTTCTTATCCCATCCAAGAAAACAAGCCAGCCCCTCTAGAACATAACAGAGATTTCAACCATGTTGGAACTTCGTAAGTTGCATGAAACCTACACGGTCAATTACCTCAGATTTGAACTAATACATGATACTTCCTCGTATGTCAATCCCATCGTTTGTTGAATGGCAGAAACAAAATATTTAAAGTGTGCATTTGTACCAATGATCTCAACCCAAAGCCCCCAATGCCTGCATAACTCGTATGTAGATCAAATACTTGAAGCTAAATTACTTAGAAATACTGCAAGATATATTCTGACTTCATATTTTACTCTATTTCTTAGACAGCTATTAGCTATTCATTAGTTCTTAGTTTATTTATTACTTTATATATAATACATTATTGTTGTTTGATTCATTGTTCGGTTCCTCTTATTTGTTTATTTGGTTGTTAATTTGGTATGTTTCTTGGTTGACGTAGGAAAAATGGATGCAAAGGAAAGGGGAAGGCCAATGGCAAAACAACGAGAGCCATGTATTCAACTTTATATTTTTTTTACATGATAAATTATGCAAAATTGCTTTCTATTTGTGCTTTTATTTATAGATAAAGTTTGCTGAATTATTGATTGGTGGCTATCGAGGCATCGACCGAAGAACTGAGGACCTACTTTTGGACATTTTTAATCTTATCTCGGTTATGTTAATTCTATATTCCTTCCTCCACCACTGACTTTGACGCCATGCACATTTGTCTACAACATGTAGGGTTTTCGAGAAAAAAAAAGTCAGTTTATAAAAGTATATAATATTTCAATCAACATTTCACTTGTAGGACCGCACAGCCAAAAGCGCCAAGGGTCCAAGCCAATCAATGAGCAAATGGATCATCCGCTTGGCCCTAATGGTGACGGACGTCTAGAATCCATGCATGAAAGAGACCAAACGAATCAGCTTTGCATCTTATATACGTATCTATATCTATATCTATACTATAAAAGAGCGAAGGAATTGTAAAATAGCTGTCACCTAAAAGTTTTCTACCCACTCTATATCTAGACCCTGGAATGGCTAAGCATCTTTAAATCTGACGGTGTTCCTTAATCAAATTGTGGGCCATCTACCGTCTTACGGCCTCTGTAAGACGTCTTACGCGTTCCTGCCGTTCAAAAGTATTGAACCCCTTCTTCAATCGTGATTTTTTTTCACCCACCTCTCAACATACCTGCCGTCATGATTCCCCCCTCTATGGCCCTTTCCTTGCTTGCGCCGGAGTCCACACGACCCATCTACGTCTCCCCTCCAAATCACTGGTGTGGAGGCTGCGTCCTCCCCGAGCCGCTGAAGCCCTAATGCCACGGCGGCCCCCGGCGACGACATGGTCCCAACGCAAATATCGGTTCTCAATCAACGCCCCCTTCTCCATCTTTCTCGACCCACCGGCCGCCCCTGCCCCGGTCGTCGGCGTCGTGGCTTCGCGCAACCGTGCCTCCGCCGGACCGTCGTCGTCCGCCGCTGACCACTGGCCGCCTGCTCGGGCACTCGGCCTCGGCCCCACCCTGCCCTCGCCCCTCGGCCGCCTCAGCGCCTCGGCAGAGACCGATAGCCTCGCTCCATCCAGCAAGCTGGAACCTGTCGATTCGTGTTGTATTTTTCCTTGCATGCATGCTTCAGTTAGGGAGCCTATTGGTGTGGTTTGGTCAAAGCTTAAGCAAAGATCGCTACTGTTTGCAATGATGCAAGCATTGCTCACTCTGAGCATCAGTATGTTGCTACTGGGATGCCCACAGAAGCTGCTCTGAAGGTACGATCTGTTCATGTGACAAATTTTTTCTTTCCTTTCATCTGGCGTGCTGTTATAGTTAAGTTGTTTCTTCTACTGCAAATTTATCTTATTTAGAAATGCCTAGATCTTGCAATTCTACAATGGGTCAGCAAAATTGCTGGTGCTGTGATTTGTCAATTCTATGGATCAATTTCCTTACACAAAAACTAAGCTAGGAAACTCTCAAGGCCCTAGCACAGATGCAGTCGGCGCGCACTGCCGCGAGTTCATGATCGCGATGAAAGGTAACCAGCCCACCGCCTGCCCTCAGATTGTTAGCCTGCGTGTTCCTGTTTTTTCCATCCAATTTATCTATTGTCAATTTTTTTATGCATGGTGTACTACAGTCCAACAAGGCAGCAAGCAATACAGCTAGACCATAAGGATAATAATTCTGCTTGTAAGCATAATGGACCTTATTGTATTTCAAAGAAACAGGAGAGTGCAGAGGAGACCTTATTGTATTTCAAAGAAACAGGAGAGTGCAGAGGAGATCAACTGGTGGTGCACTGATAAATTTCTAGATTATGTAGGAAGCATGCCTCAGAATTTAGGCACATCCTGGTGTGATTCCTTTTTGTATCCATTTATTGTCCTTAATTAGTCGTTGTTCTGTTTAGGAGAATTCTTTAGTATGAAATCCTCCTGGTAGAAGCCTATCAGATTAATTTGATTTGACAGTGCTACTCCATGTATAATTTTACCATTTAGTAAATAGCCATGAAATACTAATGTACTTATTTTTTTATATGAATTGCCTGTCTGTTGGTCAATTGGTTCTCAGGCTCTTCAATGTGTTAAGCACATTAATCTTATCTCAAACACAGAGCACATGTGCAACCTGTTTCTTGCTTCATTATTTTAGGCAGCAGACAAGGACCATGTCATGCCTAAAGTCCACTTGGATGGTAAAGAGAAA